AAACTATGGGGGGGAGGGGAAGGGAGATGGGATTAACGGTAGTAAATATCTGTCTGGGGACGGGGAGACACCTCTTATCAACAAGGGTGCCTGAACGAAGCATATTTGTATACCTAACCCTTAACTGTACCCCACAATATCATAATAAAAAATATTGGTTATAAAAAAAAACTGCATATAAAAACACATTATCTCACCATTCTGTTATTTTTGTGTTTTCAGGTATCAAATGCTAGGTGATACAAATTTCCGTGAATGTGACACTGATGGATGGACCAATGATGTCCCTATATGTGAAGGTAGATGTAAAATTGATCTACAAGCATACTGAAATACCTAAAATATCTAAAATTTTTCAAAATACTTTGCATTAAAAAATCTTTAAAGTCTATAATTAAATATTTCTTACCCAGGTTTTAGTTGTTTGTTTGTAGTATAGCACAGGGTAGAAATTTAGTCTTCTCATGACTACATTGGTTGATGTTTCAGTACCAAATATGAATACAACGTGATCTGATCTAATAATCAATGTATTAGACACTAAGGAACCTAAAAGTCATTTTTACCTTGTTTTGGATTTGAATGACTAGAAATACACCTAAATATCACTAGCTACATGAAGATCAGAATTTCACCTTTATCCGTGAGGAGGCCTCACCCAAGAACTACCCAAATGCTAGAATCTATAGCTCAGCTGAAGTAGGTAACATGACTGAGACATCTCTTCCCCGTTCCCTGTCATGGGAGGCTGTTCTCTGTTCTTTGCTTCATTGAAAAGAGGCATGAAGTCAAGAAGAGTTCTGCTATTTCTTACTGGTCTGTAAAGCAAATAGAATCAGAAAATGTAAATACTGTTTCAAGTTTTAAGTTAATACTCGATTCAAATCCCTAGTCATTATGGAAATCAAAGACATAAATCGGAAAATTAGAATATTATTTTTTTACTTCCATGGGGATGAAGAGGAGGAAGGGAGGGAGGGGGGGAGGGGTAGAGAGAGAGAGAGAGAGAGAGAGAGAGAGAGAGAGAGAAGAGGTGGAAGAGGAGGAAGAGGAGGAAGAGAAGAAGAAGAGGAAGAAATGTGATAATGCAAAAATTCTGTCCACTAAAGTGAATAAGAGCTTTCATCAAAGGAAATTAGAAGGAAGGAGATAAGTATTCTTGGGAACATCTTCATTAAAATCACTTGAGATGCTTGTTAAACACTGAAAGTTTTTGTTGCTTTAGAGATTTACTGAATGAATATCTTTGGGGTAATGAGGCAGGGATAATTTTATTTAAAAAAAAATCCGGAATCATTCTACAGTAAAATTAAGTTTGAAAGTTATAACATTATAAAAATCAGAAAATAGCCGGGCTCGGTGGCTCAGCCTGTAATTCCGCGCCTTTGGGAGGCTGAGGTGAGTGGATGGCCTGAGCCCGCGGGTTCGAGACCCGCCTGGGCAGCGAGACCTCATCTCTACAATAAATCAAAAAATCAGCCAGGCGTGGTAGCGCATGCCTGTAATTCCGGCTACTCGGAAGGCTGAGGCGGAAGGATCGCCAGAGCCCAGCAGGTCGAGGCTGCGGTGGCCGGGAGCGGCCACGCACTCCAGTCTGGGTGACAGAGTGAGACTCCAACTCAAAAAAAAAAAAAAAAAATCAGAAAATATTAAGTAAAATCAAATAGGTATGCAAACTTTTTGAATCGTGATGTCAAAGAGGTTGGAAAATTAAGTATGATTTCTCTATTGAAGTAAATGTTGTCTTAAAGTTTTACTTTTATATCTTTTAGGAATATAGTGTTATATTATTCTGGGAGCATAGATGGAAATTTTGTATATAGTCGTCATTTTTGTCCACTAGCATACAAAATAATTAGAGATAAACATACTATTTCAGAGATAAACGTACTATTTGTTCATTTCTTAGCATCACTTATCTCTTGCAAACAGATATAGCAAATACTTTTAAAAAACATTTGTTATTTTCTCCCAGTTTTTCCTCTGATGATTTTATACATACATATATTTTCATGATAAATTTTAAGATCCTATTAGAAAAAGTTATATTTATTTTCTTCAGTTATTAGGTGTTTACCAGTGGCAGCACCAGAAAATGGAAGAATTATCAGTGGTGCAATGGAATCATACCGGGAATATTCTTTTGGACAAGTGATACAGTTTGAGTGTAATTCTGGCTTCAAGGTTAAAGGAAATAAAGAAATACATTGTTCAGAAAATGGTGTGTGGAGTGCAGAAATACCAAGATGTGAGGGTAAGTTATACTTACTGTTTGTTTTTTGAATGTGTTAAGATATTTGGATAAATATATACATTTAAAAAATTGTACTTTCTAAATAATATAAATAATACTAACTGTAGTTAATGTTTATTGAGCCTTTACTATCTTCTTGTAATAGTTCTAAGTTCTTTGAATGTGTCATCTCATTTTACCCTTCAAATAATCCTATTATTTATTTATTCTTATTGCTTCTTTCTTATGATTATGAAGAAACTATGGTGCAAATAAGTTAAATTAGGACCCTGGATTATCATGACATAAAGAGTAAAGATTTAAACCTAGGCTATCTGACACCAAAGTTCATGCTCTAACCATAAGTCCACTATAATTGACTCTTAGGCTGAAATAGAATGCTAAGCATTTCTGCTGCAAGTTGTAATACTGACTTCCAGAATAGACACTTCTTTTTCATTTTGAAGCCAAATATTCATTATTTACTTCCACTGATGCATCATGATGACATTCTGTTTTTGAATAACACTTCTAGAAAGTGGGCCTGTTTTATTTTTGTACCACAAGTTTACTAAAAAATTGCTGAATGGTACTGAATCCACTAAATGAATCTTTGCCTTTTAAAAAAAGTTTTATAGTAAACTGCAATCCAAGATTTCCTTGTTCATAATAATGCAGATCTGTGCATCATTACCAATCAATGATTTAGTCTTTTGTAATAAATATTATGATCAATTTGTCTAATAAGTAGCATACTTCATTTTACCAATAATCGTTTGGCAGAAATTCCTGCCATATTTATTTTTTAACACTAATAATAGTTTGGCAGAAATTCCTGCCTTATTTGTTTTTTAACATTATCTAAAATCTCTAAATTATTAGTATGCTTTTAGTCTAGTCTACCTGATGTAGAGATAAGTTAAAAACTAATATTTTTATTCAGCATAGCAAATGCTATATACTTTAGAGGTTCGTGGATAAAGTTAACAATCTTGCAACTAGATTTCTATGACTAGTTAAAACCTTTCTAGAATGGCTGATGCTGAAGATAAGTCTTAAAGACAGAATGGTATTTTTTTAGGCTGGACATGGTGGCTCATGCCTGTAATTCCAGTGCTTTGGGAGGATGAGGCAGGAGGATTGCTTGAGCCCAGGAGTTTGAGACCAGCCTGGGCAAAATAGTGAGACCTCATCTCTACAAAAATAAAGCAAAATAAAATTAGCTGGGCATGGTGGCGCATACTTGTGGTCCTAGTTACTTAAGAGGCGGAAGCAGGAAGATTGCATGAGATCAGGAGTTTGAGGCTTTGGTGAGCCATTATCAAGCCACTGCATCCCAGCATGGATGATGGAGTGAGACTCCCATCGCAAAAAAAAAAAAAAAAAAAAAAAAAGAGATATATATATATATATGTATATATATATGTATATATATGTATATATATATATGATGAAGATAAGAGCAAAAGCACACCAGGCGGAGTCCATGGAGGAAAAAGTGGAAAGGCAATGAGGCCTCAAGGAGCACTAAGCTCCACTGATTCATGTTCATTGTTTATAGGGGCTTTAGTGTAGGATCCAATAGGGGAAAAGCCAAGAACAGATTGTGATAGGCCAGTACAAGGTGCTGGGGTGTTTCATGCACCACCGAAGAGCATAATTTTTACTCACAATGATTTGAGAATCAGTGAAGTATTCCAAGTAGGATAGTGATGTGACTACATGAAAGTTCATTCAGTTATACAAAAGGAAAATGGATTAGAAAAGTGGGAGAACAGGATTTGGGAAACTAGTTATCATTGCCACAATCCCAGAGGAAAGTACTCGAGAGAAGTGATGTCAAAGATGATGGCCAGTTATTTTTCTACAGAAATCCTGCAGGGATGCTGAAGACACAAAGACAGAAGGTCAGTTACTTTTCAGAGATATAAGAACAATAAAGTTAAATGAATTTCTTTGACAAATTGTTCTGTTGATAATTACTGTTTTGCCAATAACAAGAAAATCTGCTATTTTTGCAAGTCACTCAGTGAACATACTTACTACAATAAACATATATTCTCTCTCTCTATATACCTATATTCAAATATATATATATTTGATGAATGTTACTTGTCACCATTTATTTCAAGAGGACTAATTTATTCTCAAACTAAATAAAATTAGAAACATAATTTTAATCAGAATTTTAGCTTCTTTTAGATAAATCACTCATCAAGCACTCAAGTCAAAGCAGCACTTTTGTTTGGTTGACTGATTTAACTGATGGAAACAAAATTTCCATTTTTTACATAATTATGTCTTGGTCACAGTTCTTTGTTTTGAAATAAACCTTTGGAATTTGATCCCTTCTATTTAGAAATTCTCTGCAAATTACCAGCAGTTATAAATGGACATGCTATATCTCAGAAGGCTGTTTACAAGGAGAATGAACGATTTCAATATAAATGTAGTGCTGGTTTTGTTTACAGTGAAAGAGGAGATGCTGTATGCACTGAATTTGATTGGAGACCATATCCCTCATGTGAAGGTAAAGTTATATTTACTTTCGGTATTTTTGTTTTAAATTTATTATTTATTTTAATTAATATAATTTTTTAATGAAATAATTTATTTTTCCTCAAAAATAGAGTACTAATATTACAAGAATCAACTATCATAAAGATCATATTTCATAGAGTTTTATGTGTGCAAGTTCCATTTTGAGATCAATTAGTATGATCCTCTCACTCTAAAAATAGACATAAACAGAGCCAGAAAATTTTAATAGCTTATAAAGTAGCTGGTCTATGATCAAAAATCAACTCTATAGCAGAGCTAAAATAGGTTTTCTATTTCCTAGTAATGTGCAATTTTCAAACAATTGGATTGATCTTCTAGTGCTTAGAATTTGTTTAAATTATATTTACACTTTAAAAATATTTAAAAAGTAAATTATATTAATACTTGTTGAGGAAACTCTTGTTTGACAATGGAATTATATGGAGATTTTTTTTTTTAAACAACAGACCTAGTATGGAGCAACAGTGATGATAATGCAAGAATAAGACAAACAAATAAACAAAACCCTAACTCTCTTAAGTTTCATCATGGAAAGATGTTAAACAGATTCAAAGAGTTGATCTTAACTGTGTTCTTTGTCTACCAAAAAAAAAAAAAAAGAGAGAAAAAAATCTGAAATATTGTGTTCTATTTAGCCTACCTCTATCTATCTCTATCATCTATCTGTCTATCACTATCATCTTTCTGTCTGTCTATCTATTTATCTATCTATCATCAACATCTATTTATTTATTTACCTACCAACCTCATTTAAAAAGAGATGGTTTCAAACTGTCAGGCCCAAGAAGAGAGAATATAGGCAATCACAGAGTTTAAGAATATACAATAAGAATTAAGGAGATTTATACTGTAAGAAAAACAAGGATATACAGTTAGAGTTTGGTAACTGTTTTGAGAGATTTGCAAATATTAATAAAAGGAGTTAGCTTTTTATTAGGGTTGTTGAAGTAAATGAGATGAGGAATAACATTATCATATATGGTCCAGAAATCTTCAAAAAGTATGATGGTTACAGTATCTGTAACTTTACTGGAGGCGGGGGGCGTAGGGGGAAGAAGAGTTGAACTTTTCAGATCCTTCTGAACTTTAAATTCATGTGTATGTGTGTGAATATATCTCTTTCAGAAGATTGTCTACTAAACATCAATATAAATAAAAGAAAGTTCATTCCAAATTAGATAAGCGTTCACTCTGTCTTACAACATGCTTCATTTTCTTGAAATAGACTTTACATTAATAGATAGTTATTTTATAATAAAAATAATTTATCAATAAAGTTTATATTAATTATCAATCAATATTTTATTAATAAATATAACTCCACTTTCTGTATCTCAGCTAATGTATCACAAATACTTCTCTTTGTTTTTCTGGTACAATGCAAGGATCTGCCAGAAAATATATAATTTCCAAATCAATACCCTTTATTTTCTCTGAAATCATTTAACTCCTGTTAGGACAGTGAACTGGTGCCATGGATAAGATGCAAAAAATTATACAAAAATTAAATTGAAAAATATATTTTATTTATTTATTAAAGGTGTGGGGTACAATTCAGGGTTGGATATACAAACGTTCATTATTCAGGTACCCTTGTTGATGAGGTATGCCCCCACCCTCCTGGCAGTTTCCCACTACTACCAATTCCCCCCACACCCGGCAGTTTTCCACTACTGCCAATCCCTTTCTTATAGTATGATAATTGTTCAAAGTCCACTTATATGTGAGAACATAGGCTATTCTGTTCTTTGTTTCTGTGATGGATCACTAGGCATGATAGACTCCAAGTCCATCCAAGTTGCTGCAAAGTCCATATATTTGTCCTTCTTTATGGCTGCATAATATTCCATTGTGCATATGTACCATACTTTTTTAATCCAGTCCAGTTTCTATGGTTCCATGTTTTTGCTATTGTGAATAGTGCTGCAACAAGCATGCGTGTGCAGGTATCTGTTTTGTAGAATGATTTGAGTTCCTCCAGATATATTCCCAATAGGGGGATCGCTGGGTCATATGGAAGGTCAATTTCTAGTTCTTTCAGAGGTTCTAGTTCTTTAGTCCAAAGAGGTTGCACTAGTTTGCATTCCCACCAGCAGTGTAAAAGCATTTCCTTTTCTCTGCATCCTCACCAGCATCTGTTGTTGTTTCTTTTATTAATGATGGTCATTCTCACTGGGGTTAGGTGGTATTTCAATGTGGTTTTGATTTGCATTTCTCTGATGATTAGTGTGGCTGATTTCTTTTCCATTTGTCTGTTGGCTACCTGTCTCTTCTTTTGAGAAGTGTCTATTCATGTCTTTTGCCCACTTTTTAATGGGGCTGTTTGTTTTGGAAAATATACTTTATTTGTAAAATAGATTGAAAAGAGAGAAAAGGGGAACTACCTCCCCCACATTGGGGAGAGTGACAGAGCTTAAAGAGTAGCATGACCAGACTGGAGCTTAACAAAAACCATGGCCATCGCTGTTTGAGGTTGAATGCTTTTTTTTTTTTTTTTTTTTGAGATATAGTCTCACTCTGTCACCCAAGCTGGAGTGCAGTAGTACGCTAACAGCCACCCCAGTGTCGACCTGCTGGGCTCTGGCGATCCTTCCGTTTCAGCCTTCCAAGTAGCTGAAACTACAGACGTGCACTACCACACCTGGCTAATTTTTGATTTATTGTAGAGATGGGGTCTCACCAAGTTGGGGTGATCTTGAACCAGTGGGCTCAGGCTGTCCACTTGTCTCATCCTCCCAAAGTGTGCTGGGATAACAGGCTGAGCCACTGAGCCCAACCTTGAATGCTTTTTAAAACTTTCCTTTGATGGGGGTAGGTTATTAAGGTGATTGACTGGTGGTCTGTTTTACATCATCATGAAGGGACTGATGTCATAGTGAAGGATAACAGCAGATAGGTAAATTAGTCACATACTACTGCCATGGTGATGAGGTCTGTTTGTGTCAGGTAGGTCACGAAGGGCTGATCAGAATAGATTAGGCTAACTTGGTCTTTTTGTGGCTGGGAGACAAATACTTGGAATAGAAAAGCTAATTAATACAAAACAAACTGGGGAGGGTTGTAAAACAATTATCAATAGCTACATTCAGGATATCAGTTGTGCCTTTGGCTAATGATTAGAGGGCAAGCTAGTAATTTGTGAAGAAAGCATGACAGAACTAGGAAATGTTAAAATAGCTGTGCTTTAGCCAAGATTGTTTCATTAAACTATTGCATTTTGGCACTGCAAAGTCTTCTTTATTACTACCAAATAGATAATAAACTAGAAACTAAATTATGCAAAATTAAATGAAATAATCTAAGAGAAAATACTTAAATTTTATCCCATCTGGTCTGTGATATGTACATGCCAGAGGTGTGTGTGTGTTTTTTTTTTTAGAGTGAATTGACAAAACTTTAGTCTCTGTATCCAATAGAAATAGCCTATGACAGTAAGTCATTTATAAAAATAAAAGCAGCAAAGCCTGCTAAATAAAAGTTACCTTTGATTCACTCTCATCTGTTCTCTGTACAGACTGGATTGTCTATTGATTTTACAACATAGAGTGCTAACATTTAATTAATACTTTTACTTCAAAAGACTAATGATTGTTTCTAATTGTAGAAAATATGGAGAGTTTCGCTGGGCTCGGTGGCTCAGCCTGTAATCCCAGCACTTTGGGAGGCCGGGGTGAGTGGATTGCCTGAGCCCGTGGGTTCGAGACCTGCCTGGGCAACTTCGCGAGACCTCATCTCTACAAATAAATCAAAAATTAGCTGGGCGTGATAGTGCACGCCTGTAGTTCCAGCTACTCGGAAGGCTGAGGCAGAAGGATTGCCGGAGCCCGGCAGGTCAAGGCTGCGGTGGCTGGGAGCGGCCACTGCACTCCGGTCTGGGCGACAGAGTGAGACTCCACACACACACACACACACACACACACACACACACACACACACACACACAAAGAAAATATGGAGAGTTTCAAATATTATTTTGGTTAAAAGTACATGCTTTGATAATGTTTTTATAGCATCATTTACTTTAAAGAAGATTATGAGTAAGAAATTAAGCTTTCTTAAGAGATTCAAGTCTACTGCTTAGGAATGATCACCAGAATTCCTTCTATTATTATTTAATTTAACAAAATTCTTCCAGTATTAATTTCTCCTAGTTAAACTCTTGTTTTATGTATTTCTTAGGTTTTGACTTCAAAAATTGACATTAAGTTTAGGTATACTATGAAGTAAACATTAAGTAAAGGTACATTGGACTTCTATGGGTATATGAAAATATGATAGACACAGCAGTATGAAAAGAGAGAAAAAACAAAAAAAGGAACACATTTAAGTCTTATTTAAGGTTAGTGTCAATATCAAACACTGAGGACATATTTTACTTAAAACTTGTGTTTTAAGTCATATATTATTTCTGATATAATTATTTCTTATATAATTATGTTATCCTGTTAGCAACAGAGATAAATCAGAGCTTAATCTGTCAGAATGAAGTGCATATTTAAGTTTGTAAGGGACTATTACAATACCTCCATGAATTTAAAGTATACAGTGAAATATGGTACTGAGAGGAGGTAATATATAACCAATAATTAAAACATTATAGTGACTGAATATACAAGTGATGAGGAAAAAACAATGTGGGACAAATTTTCAGGCTACTGTCATGGGGTTCTTGTTTCACAAATTAAAATATTAAACATAAAAATAAATGTATTGAATAAATAATGATAATTTAGTTCATCATACAATAAATTGGATATGCCTTTGAATTGTACACATGGACCCATCCATTGTGAAGCTGTAGTTGTATATATGGATTTGAATCTAACTGAAAAAGTTATTAGCACAATAGGTGTAGCTTTTGATCATGGAAGTATCTTAAGTTACACAGAAAATGTGAAAAGGCAAACATCAAAATTAAGGACAAATGCTCATGTAAAACCAACTATAAGGCATAATACCTGCAGGGAG